ATACCTTTGACATCGAAGACGTCATAACTTGAAAACAAAAAAGGTTGTCGTAGATTAATTTATATGACACATTCAATTTTTTTGAGAAATTAAAATGAACGGCCAAGTTTTCAAATTCACCATTTACTTATGCGCATTTCTCTTGATGAGTAACATATTCTTGTTTTGCTGCTGTCAAATGACAAGGACAGCACTGCATCGTTGAAAATGCGCATATGTCATTGATGATTTTGAAAACTTGCCCAATGACTTTTGGTTTAAGAACCGACGAACGTTTTTGACGTCGTTGATTTGTTTTTGTTCCAGTCAATTTCCATTTGCTAAAAAAGAAAAGTAAATGATGTCAAAAGTATAAACCCTCGTGAAACAAAATGTATGTAGAAATCATCCCAATAATTATTGGTAGTATTAAAATTTACTGATTTCATATTCAAATAGCCCAGAATAGTCCCATAATAGAGCTATGAAAAAAAATGTAATTGCAATATCGAGACTCGAGACTACGCGAGAGTCTCGCCGAGTCTGGTCTCGTCTCGTCGAGACTTCACGAGACGAGACCAAAAGCCAGTCTCGTCTCGAAAAGTCGAGACGAGACGAGACGAGACGAGATCAGTCTCGAGTCTCGCGGCATCACTACTCGATGTATAAATGGAATACAGTAATTACGTTATGGTAACGGCACACTTAGGAATGAATGCACGCCAGTTGTCCGCTATTGCTTCCATGACCTCCCCCCTTGTTTATTCACCTCGTAATCGCCAAAAACAGAAAAAAGAACTAACTAAATGAGTCTATAAGGCTGGTAGTCCTCACCTTACGGTCTCCAGAGGTCACCGGCTTCGAAAATAAGCTTAAAATCTTCTACAGTGAGGAAGCCTCTGATCCCTATGTTACTGGCGGATATCCCACAGCATTTGATCCCATGTTAGAGGAGACTGATCTACTACATCCCAGAGGCTTGTAGATCCTGAAGGGCTCTGGCATATCCAGTCGTTATTTTTCTCCAGTTTCTATGTCGCCGCGCTAAGATTTCAGAGCTGTTAAGGACCATGTAATTGTTGTCGTGCAGTATTCACGCGTTAAAAATTTTCAAGCACAGACACTTGAAGGACCACACTATCAGTTCATCGTGGCAAGTTGCGACGGGCGCAGGATGGTGCTATCTGGCAGCTCTTAGTGGGGAACCTTTAAGTAGGCGGTAGGTGTCTTCGATTTTGCTTAAAGAAGGCTGTAAAGCAACTCGCGACCTGCTTCAGAGCAGTCCTATTTGGGATCGATGCTGCTCATTGGGAGGGAGCTAGAAAAGATGCCCGTAACATAGACATAGGCCTAAGCACAACCTGACAAGATTACCGCGTCCAGAAGGTACACTACATGCGGTCGAAATAACAAAAAAAAACATCAAAAAATTAAATATAGCCACCTGGAATGTCCGCTCGCTCATGGACACCAAGATCGATAACAGACTACAACGGAGAATGGCAATTTTTGCATGTGAGCTAAGGAGATATAACATAGATATCGCTTCACTAAGTGAAAAAAGATGTGCGGACAATGGCCAACTCACAGATCATGGCAGAGGCTACACGTTCTTCTGGAAAATCGAGGAAGAAAATTAGCCTCGAATCCAGGTGGTCGGCTGTGAACGCCCCAACTTAAGATTCCGACGATGACAAAAAAGAAGAGTTCCATGACTACCTAGATAGAATCTCAACAAACATTTCTTGGCCAGACAAATTTATTCTGTTAGGAGACTTCATTACCCGACCCAGCAGAGACTCCGCCCTCCGGAATAGCTCTATTGGCAAGGAGGGGATAGGCGAAGGTAACTCGAATGGAATACTTCAACTGACCAAATGATTATAGCAGGATCTTGTCATCACTAATATCGTATATCGATAAAAAAGTAAGCTGAAAATAACATGGCAACATGCAAGATCAAGGCACTGACTGTGAAATTGTCTGCTGAATATCCCGACGATATCGAACAGCACTGGTCGATGCTCAAAACAGCTATGCAGACAGTCTGACAAGAATCACCGGGCTTCATCACAAGCATCAGGATTGGTTTGATGAAAGCGGTAAAATTCAGAACGTCGTCGACCGGAAGAGGAATAATGCCTACAATATCTAGCAAAACGACCCAAATTCCAGCTCGCAAAAAACAAACCTTTCTTCAAGCCAAGGCTAGAGGACAAAGGACAACAGTGCTAAAAACTCAGTGGGGGACAACGAACTTAATTGAAATTGAATCGAAAGATTTCGCAGCCACTAACAATAACAGAGTCTTCTTCAGCGCCATAAGAGAAACCTATGGGTCGTCTAAAAAATGTCTAAATCCTTTTAGCAGCATTTCCAGGAAATTTTGAACAGGGATTCTCATGTAGATGATGAGGTTTCGACCCTCAAAAAATCACTCAAAACCATCTGAGTGATGTTTCTTCCCATCAAGAGGTTGCAAAAACCATCAACTAACTAGAGAATAATAAAGCTGCTGGGTTAGACGGAGTTCCTGCTGAATTTTTGAAGATGAAGGGGCCACACTGAAAAAAAGGATTCCTCAATTCAAAGTAATACGCACTTCATTCAATGAAATTCCGACTTTGGATATGGCCAAGTGAATATTCTCTTCAAAAAAGTTAAATGTTTTCTTGTCATAGGATTGTTCGAATACTTTACTGGAAAGAAATAAGTTCTTGGCTCAAGAACACTATCCCAATTTATTGAACACAATTTCCTTGTCCCAAGGTACTTAATTTTCCAATTTTCTTGTTCCAGGAAATTTATTCGATTCCATTGAAGATCAAAGTACTTAGCTGAAGATCTCAATTTTTTCACTAGAGGTCATCAGCGCTTGAGTGAAGATGAGAATTTTTTGCCTAAAATCCATAGGTATTTGATGATAGGATTATTGGTCATAAAGAAACATCAGATTTTGTTTATTTTTGTAAATATTTATTAACCTAAGAATTCAAACAATTTTTACAAAATATTGGCCCACTGACTAAAAAATCATTATATTATTACAATTATTTAAATAAATAAAACTGCTAAATTGGAAACATAATTATTAGGTATACCTACTACTTGTAAAATTTACATTATACTATATACCTTCAAACTTTTCCAACAAGTGGGAGTAGTGGGACAAATTGTTTGCCTCCAAAAATTCTTGTATTGGGGCCATCACAAGTATTTTCCAAACAGGATTGCAAGATAATTTTGGTCCCCTGACGTTGACGCAGTGATATCCTGGGCAACACCCATAGGAAACGGGATATAACTGTTCAAATTGAAAAGTAGTCACACGTCCGAGTAGGTCGTACGCAGCACGTTACACTATACTGCTAGGCACTACACAACTGGGTTGGAGGGCATCGGCAGAAACTTGAATTTTGAATAAGATTTTGGAATATTCCATCAAAAAACAAGATTCTTGGCCCAAATAACAAAGAGCTTAACAATTATGCAATAAAAGATTATTCTTGGTATAAGAGAATATAATTTCGCCTGAAAGAAATGTCATTCAAGAGTAATTTTAAAAAATATCAAGAACCACGAAATTCTCAACACAAAGTAATTTTTCTTCGTGCAGTAGATTAACTCTTCATATAAGATAATTTATTTCAAGATCACTGAATACCTTGAGGTAAGGGGAGCTGTTTTTTCAGTGCATGCGCTGGTCGAACATACACACACAGGTTTATTGCCAAAACATGGAACCCCGAAACAATTTCCACAGATTGGCTAGACGCCTTTACTGTCACTATATTTAGGAAATGCGATAAGGCACATTGTGGAAATTACCGAAAAATATCACTGCTCTCTACAGCCGGAAAAATAATTGCCAGTTTCCTCTCCAACCGACTTCTCCCTCTGGCCGAACCACACTGTGGCTTTAAACCTAACTGATTTCGCTCTAGAAGTGAACATGAATAAGAAAAATATTCTATACTAACCTGGCCCAAATACTGATCTAGTTGTAATTATCAATGGAGCACCTATAGAAAATATACAATATTTCCGATACCTCGGTAGTCATCTTTCGACAAATCCAAATATTAACGCGCAAATTCAACGCCGAGTAAAGTGCTCTAGCGCAGCTTGCTTTTGGATACCTCCTAAATAGGGTGTTCGACAACCACGACCTAAGTTCCTGAACTAAGTTAACGGTCTACAACGCCATCGTCAAACCAACATTCCTCTATAGATGCGAAACTTGGACTACCTACAGGAGGCACCTGAGGTTTTTAGAGAAGTATCTAGGCTGCCTAAGAGGAATACTCAAAATAAATTGCCGGGATCGTAAAACCGACAACATTATCTTTGCAGAAACCAATTCCACCAGTATGGAGGCAATGTTTTCCGCATGCCAGACTCTCTTCTTCTTCCTAAGCAAATTATGTAAACCCAACTTAAAAAAGGACGGCAATTGAAACGATACAAAAATGTCCTCAAGGCAAATATGAGAGCAAGTCAGATCGATGTTGTGAGTGACGTCTCTGCAAGAATCGTATGGCATCAAGGCTTGGAGTATTTCAAACGCCATAGGCGGAGGGATGCGGAGGACTAAACGAATCATCGGAAAGAACCAGCTTTTGTCCAATAAGAGCTGGCTCACAACAGCGACGGGCTACCGCTGAAGGGCTGTACAATCTATTTAGGAGCTATTATTTTGGATATTTTATATTTTTAATGATTATTGTAATAGATTAACTGTTTTTCTTTATGTAAACATTATACATTAGAAATAATGAAAATACAAACGACCTTACCATAAAACCATAAGTTTCCCAATTTAGGTAAATTAAACCAGAATAAATTATACCACGTGTACATTTTGATCCTCTTCAAGCCAAGTGGCTCAGGTTTTTGCAATCAGTTTTGAATTTACTAGCTTATTCTTAAATGCAAAATACCGAAATTTGTTAGAAGACAAAAAAAAATTTCTATAAATACTTTCACCTAGCTTCAAGTTACAAATGTATTTGAATTTTAAGTTGGGAGTCAAGCTGATAGGAAAACCTAAACCAAAACTACTAAAGGAATTGGGCGTTAATATTAGAGACGTATACTATTCTCGACCAGTTCTCCGTGAGAGCGACAAAGATGGCGATTTTCTCAGTTTGGAAGGGTTGATAGAAGTGGATGCAATTGTATTCCCGACTATGAAGGGGCTAGTTGAAATAGATCAGAAGGGTGCTGTCTATGTACTCCAATCTAAGATCCATCTACCTCATGGAATTGCCACTATTATTGACGAATTTGAATATGTAGTAAGTATTATCAAGTTTTAAAAACAGTAAAAAAAAACATTAACCTAATAGTTATTAACATTACAAGTGCGTTTATGAACATGATAACAATAGCGAGTGTGAAAGATTAGAACGACGAGGTCGTAGACCGAGTCGTTCTAATCACACGAGTTTTGTAGTAATTTTTAAACGCACGTATGATGTACAACGTTTTATCTACAAAGCGATAAATAAGAATGTTTTTTAATTTTTTTTTCGTTTATCAGTAGTTCTCTACCTTCATTTTACCTTTGACATTTGTCAAATCACCAAAAACGGTTATGTTATAGATTTATAACCTAGTCCATAACACCACTAGCTGTGTTATGAATTCATAACCTAGTCCATAACACAACTAGTTGTGTTATGATTCTCCTGACATAGCTCAAATACTTGAAAAATGGTTATGTAAAAACGTCATAACCAAACGCTTGTAGATAAAGCATTTTACCGTACTATATGTATGCGTAAAACACCTTAAATTAAATATAGATAATAGAATAATACCAATTCCATTATACAGGGTGTCCCAAAAAGATACCGACAAACTTTAAGGGGTAGTAGGGGACATCAAAACAAGCATTTTTGTTTATATAAACATATGTCCGCAAATGAACCATTTGGGCTGTAGAGCAAAAAACTGTTTGTTACCTAGTTTTATTCTTCCCAAGAATTTAATTACTGTTTACCTATTAATTTTGCTTTATTGATAAATAAATTAAGGTTTACAATAATTGTTCACCTCGCGAACTCTTTGGAATATTCCGGGAATAGCTTCTACATGGGTATAACTCGCCAGTATCCTTGCTAACAGATCTTCCTCATTACGAATAGGTATTTTGTAGACTAAAATTTTCAGTCAATGACCCGACGGTGTAATCTTTGCATTGAAGTAAATGGTCAACATTTTGAACAATTATTGTAAACCATAATTTATTTGATAATAAAGCAAAATTAATAAGTAACAGTGATTTAATTATTGCGAAGAATAAAAGTATCAAACAGTTTTTTTGCTCTACGGCCCAAATGGCTCATTTGCGGACATATGTTTATATAAACAAAAATGCTTGTTTTGATGTCCCCTACTACCCCTTAAAGTTTGTCGGTATCTTTTTGGGACACCCTGTATTTTGAATTCACTTTTATTAGGGAACTTGCACTGACAATTGAATACAGAATTAATAGCAGAAAATATTAACAAACGTCCATGTAGTGAAGATAAAAAAACTTTTCTTTATCCCAGATAAACAAATGTATTTGAATTTTAAGTTGGGAGTCAAGCTGATGAATGAATGAATGAATTAGTTGGGGGTTTTGCTATACTGCGACCTACATAGATCTATTGTGTCCCCCAGAAGGGGCGCTCCAGTTGATGGACTCTCGCTTAAAGCACCTCATCCAGCCTTTATGCTTTTATGAAAGCAAGTACTCTGGATGATTCTATGGATGGAATTTCTTCCCGTCCCGCGATGTAGCATCCGAAGCAGGCCATTCGTGTATTCACGATCGCCTCGCATTCCGTTAGATGGTGTCCAGGAGTTTCCTCCCCTTCCTCACAGAACCGGCAGCTGTTCTCGTTTTCAATTTTAATTCTCTCAAGGCGCCCTTTTAACCGGCAGTGGCCTGTGAGGAATCCGGTGAGAATGCGGATATTGTTTTTGCTTAGTGATGTGAGGCCTTTCGGTCTCCCTTGGTCAGGGGGTGATCTTCGATTGCCTCAACCCTGGAAGTTGCTCCCAGAGGCTGTTCCATTTGGTCCGCTCTTCCTTTCTGAAGGCTTCTTCATAGGTGTGTTTCCCTATGCCGCAGAAGGGTTCCGGTCCTGAAATCGGAGTCTGTGCCCTTAATTTCGCTAGTTGGTCGTGTCCCGGTATCCACTGGAGGGATAGTTTGTTATCCTTGCCCAGTCTGTTTAACTTGTTGTAATCCCAAACCATTCTGGAGCTGATTATTGGTGAGCTCAGCGCTTTAATGGCTGCTTGACTGTCGGAGAATATGACAATCTCTCTCTTTCTGTAGTTTCTGTCAAGATTGAACTCAGCACATCTACTTATAGCGTTTATTTCCGCCTGAAATATGTCCGGGTATTTTCCCATTGCTTCAGAGAACTTGGTTCCAGGCCCATATACTCCAGCTCTGGTCCCTTGTTGGGTTCTTGACCCATCGGTGTACCATTTTATGGCTTTCTGCTGAGTTTTAAAAATGGATGTGGTAGGTATATTCTTTCCATTCTTCTCTGCTTCTTATCACTACTGTGAAGTGTTTGTCCAGGTGCTGTGTTTTAGTCATATCGTCCCTGGGGAACTCATAGGAAATATAGGTATATTTATAAAAAAATACTCGCTGATTTTTGAAGCTTTATATTTGGCATGCTTATTTTCGAGCGTATTAGGTCAGATTTCTAAAATAAAAAAAAAAACTTGCAAATTCCGTGTTCCACGATTTTTGTTTATTAATATAGAAGAGGTGGAGTTGAAGTATTTCAATAAATGCTAAATAAATAGGTAGGTCGGTATATAGTTATAGTTTTTAATCATTTTGTTTTTTTTAGGATGTTTTGTCTATGAGCAATACATTACGTATAGTGACTCCGTACAAGCGTTTTAAAACTCTAAAGTCTGACTTCAACTTGCAATTTATCCAAAATCAACGGTATATGTTTCATCTTAACTTGAGATATGAAAACAATTCGGTGCCGATAATAGTAAGTGTGATTCTTATAAAAATTTATTAAAAAAAAAAACACAAAAAACTTGCTTTTCAGGCCGGCGTTTTAGCAGAATACAACGTGCACCGGCAAAATATTGACGAAAGAATTTACAACGTTACTCTTGACTTAGATACCCCCTTTAAAGCTTTTCCAAAGTTGAAATTGTTTGGGGCTTTTGAAACGGAGGAGAATTTTTATCGCACGAAGCTATTATTCACAACAAACAGCAGTGATATATCTCTGGACGCCACCACGGAAGTAAGAAATTAAATAAACGCTTTGACTTTTAAATTAAATAGCTTTATTATACAGCATGTTGAAATTGTGTTATTCACTTTAACAGGATTTATCTGTATTTACATTGTTAATATTCTTGCAGTATCAGCAAGCACTTACCATATTAACTTGTTGCTATTCACTTTTTGGATAATCTCAATTTTAGATTGTTCTGCAAGGTATTAAGTGTCTATAAAACCAAACAAATATCTAAATATACGATAAGTTATATGGGTGAGCAAATAGAAAAGGAAATAGGTTTCTTGCATATTTTTTTTTTATTTGCTTATGGGAAAGATGAGTCAAAATTAAGCTCAACTGTATTTTTTTCTGATTTTTTTCGGACTTTCAAAGGCTCTAAATTTCGATTCGAAGTTCAAATTTCTTGGTGCCGTGACGTCACGGCACCAAATTTCTGATTGTTCAATTTTATCCAGTGTTGCTCAGATGTCAGGAATTTCATGTAAACTTCCTCGGCGACAACTAAATCGATATAATAGGGACTTTTTGTACCTCTTATTTTGCCATTCCGCTGTGGTTATCGTTATACTGAGTATGCGCAGTAGCTAAAAAATGTTCGTTTTACTTATCAACCACAACGAGCGGCGTTATTTAAGGAGGAATAATAACCTTGTGCTTATATTTTTGTGGATGTCACATTGAAGAAAATTGAATAGATGTCATCCCATTTTAATAAATAATCAATTAAAATCATCTGAAATTCTGAAAAAATAAGTGTGGATTATCATTTTGATGTTATGAAATTGGTTTACATTCGAAGGCGCAGGCGCAGTTCATGGCCCAGAGAAAAAATAGAAACAACGGAAATATGTACCTAAACGTTTGGCGATGCAAAATCTCTGATTTTGAAGATCGTGGTAATCATTATCGCCGATAAAGGTAACCATAACTGATCCAAAAACTGCTGTTATTTTAAGGGGTGCCAAAAGTCTCTAATATCGAATCCACAGATTTGTATCGGAATATGGAATGGATTCTCATCCCTATGAAAAACATAACCCAACTTTTTAATTCAATTAAGTATAATCATTATTAATTTTTATTTATTAGCCTGTCCAAAACTCCAAAACAGGCAGAAGGCACGAAGGCACACAAAGGTTGCTCTACCTGCATTTTACTAATATACAATGCTAATACCTAGTGTTGTGTTGTGAGTTTTAATTTTACATTTTTAATTTCGGCACTGAAATAGGTATATAATTACCTATTAAAATTATTGTTATTTTTTTTCTAAGTGGATTATGGGAAATAAAACAGGAGTATAATTTTTATGTGTCTGTACCTGTTCGATACCAGTTTCTCTAAGACTAAGGCCGGTGTTACCCAACTCCTTAATTCCTAATTTCTATTCTTATTTCGTAAAATATTAGCTATCGATTTGGTCCTGTTACCCAGTTACTTAATTTTTTTCTCCGCCACCAAATATATAAGACTAGATTGATCTTCAGTATTCATGGGTTTTTTATTTTAATAGAATATGGGGGTTTTTTATTTCAATATGGTTTTGTTTTCAACCAACACAAAATCACAACAAGACTATGAATAAAGCCCTTAGAGCAGGTGAAGATAGAGGAGTAGGAGTAGTAACATGGAGTTGGAAAATGAAGCCGTTTTTTTCCAGGTATTTTGGCACCAAAAAAATTGTGGTATAGGAATTGGATAAACCGATAACGCCATCATTTAATAACACGCTGTTAACTTGTTATGAATTAAGCACTAAGTAAGAAATAAGAATCAGAAATTAGAAATTAAAGGAGTTGGGTAACACCGGCCTAGCTTTTTACATTAGTGATTCCCACGAGACCAACGAGACGAGACTTTCATAAAGTCTTGTCTCGTCTCGCCGATAAATAAAAAGTCTTGTCTCGAGTCTCGTCTCGCAGCCTTAAGTCTCGTCTCGTCTCGCGTCTCGTACGAGAGTCTCGCAAATGTCTCGGAGTCTCGTCATGCCTAATCTTGTTCCAGTTTAAGGCCCGGTTGTACAACGGACGTTCAACCGAAGTTCACACTGACTAGTGGTTCAAAGGAAAAAACTCGTTGTACATGGTCGGTTCAGAGTGTGAACTGAGGTTGATCTTGAACGTCCGAATTTGGGCGTTCAAGGGGAGTTCAAGTCTTTTTTGGGTTTTTCTAACCTGACTCTCCTATGTTTTGTTTGTTTTTTGATAAGGGATCACCATGGCTTTTGAATATATATTTTTTTTCAAGTGGATATTCGTTATTTTATATTTAATTGAAAATGGATCTTGAGTGGGAACTGTGGGAAGATATTACAGATGACGAAGATTTTTAAAAATTACTTAATTTTATGTTACATATAAATTATGTATACTTTCTCGAGCCCCACAGATATTCAGAAATCGAACAGCGAACATATCATTTGAACATTTGTAATGATAAAGAATAATTCAAGGACAGATTCAGTTTAGAGAAACAAGCAGTGCGATTTATCATAGATGAAATTATGCATCTGTGACCTGTCCGCTGTCCTGTGTGTAAAAAAATATGAAAATTAAAATTAAATAAATAGTAAACAAGAAAACACAAAAAATAAACAATGAATTTGATAGGTTATGGGTTGAGTTGCGCCTATTTTCTTTCTTCTTTTTATTGTGGGCATTGCAACTGATGGTTCAGGTAAACCGGCAGTGGTACAACACTCGAAACTCTGAACCACGTTCAACATTGAACGACGGTTCAACAGAACTTGTGTTGAACCATTCTTTGTACAACCGGGCCTTAGAGTCTATAGTTGAACCAAATCCAAGCGGCGGTAATGGCATAACTGGTCATTTTCATTACAACCTATCAAATGATCTCCGTGCATGCGCACTGGTCCAGGTAGGGCGTCTCAACCAATAGAAAGTCTGGATTATCAACGCAATTTAGGTTATTTAATGAGGAAGTTGCATTAAATTTTATTTTGATGGAAAATGTATTTAAAGTGGAGCAAAATACTCAAGAAGTATATTTCTATATTTAAATCCTCTTTAAACTTAACCCCTAATAACTAATTAATTATTCAAGTATTCAATAACAATGGGCGCGAAAATGTTCTAAAATTGGTTATGACGTCATCGAACCATAAACAAACAAAAGTGTGGTTATGTTAACGTGAAACGTAAGCCGTCAGACGCTTGTGTTTACATCGAATTCTACCGATGGATCCACCATTGTATGTCGGTCATTATCGTTTTCCATTCACTACACAAAGATAGCTAACTCATTGGTGAAGCCACCGATTGAAATAAGGCCCTGGCTAAAGTAACAGAGGTGGTACTATAATTATTTTTTTAAAGTAACATCAGTTCAATGACGACACTGATGACAACGTTACTTTTTATAGAGGTTATAGTAACAGAGGTGTTACTCTAAATATTTTCTTGAAGTAACGTCAGTATAGCAATAGGTATGTAGATAGGAGATAGGTACTTTCTTTAGCAATTTAGTAAAGGTGATATTGTTGGTCCTTGGCATTTGTTTTAGTTTAGAGTGAAACTGGAAATATATAAAAAATAACCTGACTTTGAAGGATAGAATAGAATACTTATAAAACAGGCACTATAGGCAAGGCAGAACCGACACATTTTCCTATGACCCTGTCAGAAAGTGACAATTTGTTACCTTCTTTTTAGGGGGGAAAATAGTAATTCCCCTCCCTAGGAAGGAAAGTGAATTATTTTCCTTCCTAGGCAGAAGTTTTTTCGCTGTAGATCATAGTTTTAGCTCCAAATGAATATATTACCTACCTTCATTTGCTGAAAAAAAATTCCTTGAAGTTGATGGCCATTATTTTATACCACTAAGGATTAAAAATGGAAAACTGATTTTCACGTTGCACACTAATAAAAAAAATTAAAACGATAGGTATCGTATATCTCCTCATGTAAGTATAATGCAGGTATTAGGTATAGATTATTAATTACTATCATCTTGTTGTATGAAAAATCATATACTTCAGTAGGTATATTCCCTTGGAGTAGTGAAGTTCCGTTTCTCTCTTTGGTAATAATCGAATTTCACCTGCATGAGAGAACTATACCTACACTCCCCTCCCTTTGGTTTACAAATAACTATTGGTATTATTGGGTAAGGGCATGTGAGGAATAGGAATATGGAGAAGCCGTTTTTCTCACAAAAGATTTATATTATCAATATGTTGATTCAAATTTTTGGTTTATTAAAAATAAAATATTATTATTAAGTTGTTGAATATCACCTTTACTTTAAATTGCTAAATAAAGTACCTATCTACATGTTGCTATATTATTGACGTTACTTCTAGAAAATAATTAGAGTAACACATCTGTTAGATACTATAACCCCTATTAAAGTAACGTTGTCATCAGTGACGTCAATGAACTGATGTTACTTTAAAAAAATAATTATAGTAACACCTCTGTTACTTTAGCCACGGCCTTGAAATAAAACGAGGGGAAACTTGACAACAAAATAAACCACACATGTAAATCGCACAAACAATGACATAAAACACAATTGACAATGGATAAGACAGGGAGGGAGTACAGAGACTCGTTTTGACGCTTGGAAGGTTATCGTCTTGTGACGTCATTGATTTACGACTGCGTTTTGGCGCGAAGAGAATTATTTTGAATTTCTATATTTTTTTACAGAAAAACTATCAGTTGAAAATCTTAAATTTATGTGGCAAGTGACTTTTTATAATGTGAAGAATTTAATAAGAGAATAAGAAAAAAAATTGCAAATTCCTCATTGTCATTACTGCCGCTTGGATTTGGTTCAACCATAGTACAGGATACTTACCTATGTTGCACCCCCTGATTCATCAAATTTGCTGGGGTGCAAGAAGCCCTTTCAGGTAATGTTAGTTAATATTAAATAATAATGATAACATCCGAATTGTGTGTTTTGGAGTTACTCCGAGGAGCTCTAGAGCGACAGGTTCGGTGTAACTCAATGTATAAAAGGAATACAGTATT